AAAGTGGGCTTAAGTGTGCGGGAAGGCATCCATACGCTTTGAACTGACGGCAAATGCAAAAAGTAAATAAATATTTAAATCATAATTTGTGTACTCGTCGAAATCTGATGAAATGATTAGGGCGCCAGCGCCCTGACATTCTACAAATCTAAAATAGAGCTATTATTCCTATTCAACTGAATGCTCGAGCTCACATTGACCTTTCGCATTCAAAGAGTTGGAAATAAGTTACGCTAATAGCTAGAGGAGAGGGGGAACTCAAAAGTGTTACGAAAACTCTCCAATTGTATTGCGTTATGAGTAGATATATTCTAAAGATATATTGTAAAGGTATATCAGATGAATTTCAATTATTTCTTTTCTGTTCAGATGTCAATTGTAATTCGATAATTTCGTTTTCTTTCTACTTTTCCATATTTATTTCCCTATTACCCTATTTCCCTTTTGCTTTGACCGTATTGCATAAATTTTAATGAAAACTTTTTGAAAATATTTAGATGTTTCTCATTCTTTATGTGACCTTTCATTATACCTAACAAAAATAAAAGATTTGTTCATAGAGGAAAACTGTCACCAAGTGGGGTCTAGCCGCAGTCCCTTATTACCGATGACTCCTCCTTTTCCGCTTAAGGTAAATTTAAGGGATGGTAGAACTAACTCCAGCTGAGGCCCTTTTGTTTTCTTCTGATTCCGCATCTGCCTAAGCCCAAGTCGCATAACTCGATACCATTAGTGTCAATATATTTACTTAGATAGACGTGCAACGCCGGGCTCCTCATTTTTATTTGTAGTCTTAACAAAAGATGCAACTTTTTAGATGCCTCGCTTTAAGATTCAGCTCGCTGCACGGACGAATATCCCACTGGAGCTTAGCACCAAATTCACTTCTCGAGGAGAGTCCGCCAAAGTTTTTATCCGCAGAGCTTATCCACATGTGAGGAGAAGACAAATTGAACTGCGCCAGCGAAAGACACTCTTCGACTGCGTTTATTCCAATGCATTTAATAAAGTGTTTATTTCTGTTGCAACAAATTTGCCAGCTCAATGCAGCGCGTAGAAAAAACTAGACGACGAAAACAATCTGAGCTGAAACCTGAGCACGACACAAAGGAAAATTGCTTTTCCGCTACGCACACTCATATACACATATACACGGGGAAAATACCTAGCACGCTTCGTGGCGGCGGAAATATGTGGCCAACGCATCAGCAACCACACCCCCAGCCCAGCCCCCGACCTCGCCCTCGCAGTAGGAAGACAGATTGGAGCTCCGGCTATATGGCCCATCGAAGTTCGCCTGATGACGTACATCGAGGGAGGCGTGTTGGCTGGGCGTGTGGCTGCATGCACTGCCAGACTCTGGGAGCAAGCATAGTTTCATTTCAACTCACTTTTACATTTTACTTTTGTTTTCTATTTGTCTTTCGCTTCGGGTAGTCGGAGCTAGAGTTGGGGCTGGACACGCTTGGTATTCGGCTTGAGTGGCACATTATTTGATGATGCTTTTCGCGATTTTTTCGCACTCCAGTGGCTGATTTTTATTAGTTGAATTCTTTACGATTCCGCCTGCAAAAGTTTCTACAGTTTCTTGCTTCCACATTTTCTTTGGCTTTGGCTTTGGCTTTTCCCGCGTTCAATGCCGCCGCACGTTCTGTTACTTTTTGTTCGCCAAAACTTTTCCTTCCGTGGCTGGGCAAACAAAGATTTTGAAATATGGTAGCAAAAGTATGTGTTAGATGGCACAAACGATTCCCCGACTGCCCGCCCGTCCCCTCACTGGATCATTCTGGCATCGAGCTCACAGGGGGATAGCTAGAAGAATAATCCATTTCTATTTGATTGCAAGAGGGAATGTGCTTCGGTTATTGCTCGCTCGATATTCAGATAATATCGCTTCTTGCCTATCGCGTAATTGTCAAGCCGAAGCAAAAACTTTCACTGGCCAGGTGGGTGCGTCACCCTCTGAAGAGACGCCAAAACAAATACACGGAAATGAAAGTTAATTTGAATACATTACCAATTCTAATTACGATTTTTCAAGTGCAATAAAGCGGCGGAGCAGGAGCACGAGCAGGAGGAGGACGGCGAAAAAGACAAACACAATGACGATGGGATGAATAAAATAATATTGGCTGGACCCACCGAATCGTAGGGACACCCAGCCAGGGTGTCGTTGAGAAAACCACGAAGCGTTCAAATTGTAATTCCAAAAAGCGAATAGACAACAAGCTGCAGACGGACCGACGCGACGGACAATGGGAATCGGAATGGAAGCAGGAAATGGGATGTTGGCTGACCGAAAGATTAGCTCAAATGTGCCAAGAAACAGATGGGCAAGCAGCGCAGCTTTCACAGCCAGTGACAGCACAGGAAAATGGCGAAATGGCAGCAGCAACCGCGAGCCATGAGCCACGAGCCACGAGTCAAATTTGAATAATTTCTTTCGCTTCTCTTTTGCCGCAGCATCTGCACAAGTGGCAAATGCATTAAGGAACGGGACGAGCCAAACTTGTAGGGATTCGCATTTCATTTTATTAAAAATTCAAATACTCTGCTTATCGCTTCAGATGCCAGCTTAAGCCACCTGCAAGCAACACCAGGCGCCGCACACACCCCAATTGACTTTTACTCACCATCCCCCATCCCATACCTCCGATTCAGAGCAACTTTCGCTATTCGGAGCTCGCTTATTATGCAGCATTTTTTCTCCCCACTTTTTCTATCCACGACCAAGGTCTGGCTGCCTTCTCATATGCCTCCTGCCACGGCAAAAAATTATAAATGAAAATTAAGTAAATATTATAATATATATGTACGTTGCCACCTGGCTGGGACTGCGCCTGCGGCTGGAGCTGGGACTGGAGCTGGGTCAGCTTTCCCACAAGTTGGTGGCATCGAATCCATTTGGGCGCAGCCTTGGCAAATAAATGATAAGCATTACATTTGATATTCATTATTTGATAACGTGTAATAAGAAATAAAAATAAAACGCCAGCGGAAATGAAAATGTTACCGAACAGAAGCTAGACACCGACTCAAGCCAGCCAAACAGGCGGACAGATAGGCAGCCAGGTCTAAGGTCCTGGAACATGGTGCAGGATTAAATGTTTGCCTAAGTGAAATATGTTAAATGCTATGATATGTGCGGCAGGCAGTGCTGCAGCTCGCATGGCCCCGTCTACGTTTGATTTATGAGATTAAAGTGATGTAGGCGAGAATGGGACATGAGATGCCGTGGAATAATTTGCAAGACTGGCGAGTGGCCGGAGTCTCGGCTGTGGCACCGGAATAATTACGATGCCAAAGCAGTTTTTATGGCCCGTTTTTTGCGAGTGCATTGACACGGCCATTCATCACATTAGTGGAAGAGCCAATTCGCTTGAAAGCCCCGGTCAGACGCTAATGTCAAGTCCGTCCACTGGGAACAGGCAGGCATGAGATAAACTCTCGTCTAATGGCATTAGAGATGACCTCAAAGGAATGTAAAAGTCCTTTAAAAGAGTAGGCAAAAAAATGGAGGCTCCAAATCACAGCTAGTGTTTGCAAACAAAATTCCTCAATTGATTATTGAATCATATGATTTATTTTAATTAATCCACGTTAAATGTCGATTGTTCATTAATCAAATTAAATTATTTATTTTTTTTTTTTTCTATTATAGTTTTATTGCAGCTTTTGTTGTTAACTATATAGCGCATTTATAGGAAATTAAATTATGTATAGTTTTTTCATTTATATGTTTTATTGTACACAATACTTGGAGAAATCGAAAAATTACTCACAAGTATTAACCATGCCACAACCCATTTCATTAAAATTATATAGAATAGAAGCAAAGTATCATATGGTTTATCCTGTCATCACTAATCACAATATAAGTGAGAGTTTCGTTTAAAGGCTTGTTGAGCAAAAACTCTTAGCTTGCAAGTATTTAGCTCAGTGCTAGAGCTGCTTAAGACAGAGATCGTGAGCTATGCAATGCCACGAAGTCGGCAATTACAGATCCAGGGAATTCAACATCGCACTTAAGCTTGATTGGATTGAGGTGGGGTCTTCAGCAGCTCAAAGCGAGAGGAAGCAAAGCTTTTGGTGTAAATTGTGTCGACACACGCACAGCGGAATCGGTGAGAACTCTTCACTTAAAGGCCACAGGTACAGCACGGCGAGGGGGACTCGTGTGTGCGCGGAGCGTGAAATTATGAGCCCTTTAACAGCAACAGCAGCAGCTGCAGGCGTGGCAGGAGCAGCAGCAACAGCAGCCGCCGTGGGTAACGAGCACCTCAACGACAAGCTTAAGCTGCTTAAAAGGAGCCACCGGCAAGGGTAGCCAGCAATGTGGGAAGGTGGAAAGCGAAAGTGTCAAGGATGCGGCTGCCGTTTCATAGTCAAATTAAATTGCTCACTAAAACAGCGAGATGTGAAGTCGACGCTAAAGTAAAAGGATAATGTGAGCATAAAAACATTTTTAATGAAATCGAGACGACTTCCAACTGGGACAAACACGCAGTCTGAAGACTGAAGACTGCTGTCGGAGTCAGCGTCTAAAAATGTAACAAGTGAGTTTTAAATTAAACGCCGACTGCTCTCTGCGGAGCTGGGTCCGGGAACGGAAGGCTGGGGCCTCAACTCTTGAACTGAGGTGTGGCCAGATGTAGCTCCACTGTTTTGTTTGCCAGTGTAATTTCTTTCGGCTGCACATTATTTTCATATCCCGCTTAAAATTTTAATTAATTTTCAGCTTGATTGCGTTTTAAAGAGGCTGCTGGCTTCTTCGCCTCTCCATCTGCTCATTGTGAGCGGGCTCCGGGTCCTGGGAATTTATAGTTATTGTGGTTGAGTGTGTGGGTTTCGCCTGGGTTACTGCGGCGCCGTTTGACTTTGTGTCGAGCAACAAATTTTGGTTTGCAATTATTTCGACAATTTGGACTTAAGTGGGGCCTTAATAAATTTATAATTTCCATTGGTCCAGCCAAATAAAATGAGGACCTCCGCCCTCTTACCTTTAGTGGTGTGCCTGTCCAAATTAGGATCCTTCAGGCCTGAAATAAGACGAAACAGAAAGTTCCATCAGCACACAGTCTCTATAATTGACTTTTTCTAAAAAGAGGTGCGGATGAGTGCCCATTGGAAATATACCAGTTATCTTCATATCGCTATTAAGAATTTTCCTATCTCTTCGCTTGAAAAGCGAAGCTCTAGCTTAACGACTTGAAATTTCAACCTCTAGCTGGATTTTGTGTCTTTTTAATTTTCCATGGATTTCCACTGTTCTTTAAAATATGGCTTCAGATTCGTTGTTCCTCTTGCTCACTCTAACACCGGCGGGGTTAAAGGAAAGCCATCTCATGCGATTGTTCGTTCTATATGTAAAGCTGCAAAAGCCTTGTCGAGTGGTGTGACACCCTGGTTGCATAATCTCAACTGGGTGGCAACACCAAGAAACAGAGTTTGACAAGCACATGCCTCGCCGCTGCTTAAATGAAATTTAACTAATCACAATGCTTAAAAGTTTTCAAGGCCTATATTCTCAACTCAGTTTATAATGTTAATACTCTATTATTTATATATTATATATGTATAACTTGAGTCCCCTTATAACGACACTCAACAGACCATCGTTATACCCGGAAGCCGCTATAACCGTATAAGTCGTATAAGTTTGTCTGGGGACCAGAATTTTCGTCGCTATAACCGACGCTATAAGCGGAGTCGTTATAAGCGGATTTTACATATAGATAGACTATTATTAATTTAAGCTACATATAAACCGAGCTATATATAAACCGAGTATCGCCCCGAGTACGTTCTACGGATTTTACTTGCTTTAGAGCGTTATTTAATCGTCGTCTACTTGGTGCAATGGCAGTCATTTATCTCTGTCAGTACGTAGAGACTTATGTGGGAAACTCGGGCCACGGGTCGACACATTAGTCGAGGACCCAAACTGGGGGCAAGACATGGACGCATTGCTATTGCCCACAAATGTTAATCTTAATTAATTGCTGCTAATTACATACTACAAAATGACAAGACGAACATGTCTCTGCATCTGGCGTTCAAGGTGCGCCAACAAAGCGGAGGTCGGTAGCATTTTGAGAACATTGCGGACAAACAGTTCGTGAGAACGACGCATATCGAGGGTGCTGCATCTAAGAGCTGATCTATGAATTCGCCAAGTCGTGGAATACATGTTATTCAAAGAGAGACGAACAAAAATAAAAAAAAAACCATAGATGCAGGGAGAGGGGGCGACGCAGTAATATGGGCGACGGAGTCCAGGTCGAGTCGCGTGTTTGTGCAACTTCTAATTAATTTTTCGCAAAATTCTACGCCCTGGCGGAAATGAACTTAAACTTTAAGTGCAGCGGAAGTGGAAAGTCGCTGCCAGAGTTGCATTTGCTGCAGTTGTTTCGTTTCGAGTTTCCGCCCGACCCAGTCACGGTTTTGGCAGAAGGCGCGGGGTTTCGCTCTGTGCTTGTCGACTTTCTCGGTTAGGCCTGCCCGATGAATGCAGAAAAACGAAAAACAAGACGAAATCAAAAAGAGGAAGTAGGCGTCAAACATTATGAAAGCCACAGTTGGGCAACAGAGCCTATGGGGATAGTCGTCTACTCGAGGATTGTGTTCGCCCTTAAGGGGGTGTGGTATTGCATAGCACATCCAAATTTATATCTTTAATTCGTTTATGCCATTAGTAATAGACCTTATGGCGCACCACTTGAAGGCAGCTTTTGAGTTTGCGGTTTCATTTTAATTTAATTCGACGTTTAATTAATTCCCAGTTATCGCCACAGAGCAGTCAACAGCCTTCTGTGGAATTCGCTGCCACAGCTCTAATGGCGTCTAGCCGGTCAAAGAAAATTGCACCAATGAAAGGTCTTCCACATACCGCAGACATGTCGCGGCGAGAACTTCAGCTTAGCACATAAACGGGACGATTAGCAGGACGAGGACGAGATAATACGGTCTGCGTTTCGGTCTGACTCTGTCTATCTGGCATTTTTTCGACAGTGGAGACTAAAGCACCACTGACTGGGGCTATCGGAGCTAGAGCTTTAAGAATTACTTGGTTCAAGTCACCCCGACTATTTAGCTTCGATCGTAAACTATTGAAATTAATCTCAGCTGTTTATCTGACAGGCATTCATAAAGTTTTATTTGCGAGAGCTGGGGAGCAGCACCCCATCCAAGCTCCCCCCATAAAGTGCCCATTAAAATCGTCGCCGACTTCAGTTTATATTGGTCCACAACTTCGCCCATCTCCAAGCCAGTCGCTTGTACACAACAAATCGCGCATAATTATGGCAGAGACGTCATCAAATTTGATGTTTACATCCTATATACTATCTCTGATTTGAGCAGGGGCTCTGCGAGCAGCCATCTAGCTGGGGTTAAGCTGCCTCTATAGGCAGTTGGGTAAATTATCACGTCATGCTTGCTGCGAGCTGCATGCAAATGTGATGAAGCGGAATCATTCTCCCATGGCAGAGCCCAAAACATTTTATGTCATCTACGTGCTCATAACTTGCCATGCAGTTTCTCTTCCCATTTGTTTGCTTTGCGGACTGTGCAGTTGTTGAGCAAATAATTTTATTAGCTCGTGTCTGAGTACATCTAAGGGATACTTGCTCTGCACGTCTGTAGCTCTATAAATATATATACATTTATTTATGTGTATATGGGTTGTCGCTTCGAGTTGATTAAGTTGATTTAACTAATTTGTTGCTTGTTTAATTAGAAAAGTTGCAAATGTTGTTCTTCAATGAATAAACGAGTCAAACGAATCAAAGAGCCAACGAGCCGACGAGTCAGTGACCTGAAAACTTTTATGCCACCTGCGATGTGGGGGGTTGAAGTTGTAACTGGGTGGGAGCTCTTGGCCAGCTCCTTCAACTCCTTTGCAGCTCAGAGTGGCCCACTATTTATCACTCGTGCAATCAATATCCAATTAATGTCCTTTTATTCTAGCACTTGCACATATAATTAATTAAACTGCCCTCCACATGCCGTATGGCAACATATTTTTATGCCACATCAGCATCAGCATCAGCATGCACAACTGCTGCAGTGGTGTGCAGCTCCAGTGGGTCCAGTGGGTCCACTGGGAATGCAAACCATATTCTATGCCTGGCTCACACCCGTTGCGTCTCTGGTCACTCAAGCCTACGGCAGCGCTATGCACACTCATTAACGCAACAATAAAATATGCCCCGCCCACCCGGGGCCAATACAGGCCAATGGCCGCCCACTTGGTTCGGACAATTAATGTGACTGACACACATGGAAATTTTGCATCGGCTGCGTTGTCATATTTGATTTACAGTTGCAATTTACACACTTGCGAGGTGACTCTCAACCACCGGAGGCCGGACTCCGAACGCCGGAGGCTGTAGTCCCCGTCACGTCAGCAGCCAGTGTCTGTTTGATGTTGTTAATTGATTTTCAAAGTCAACTTGCTGGGCCGGCAAACGTGTCCCGCGACCCACACATACCCGCTCGCCCAACCACCGGGCTCAGTTGCCCGAGTTTGGTTTCGCTTTTACTTCGCATTGGCGCAACGCACCGCTCAGAGATTAGCAGGGCAGTAAAATGCGTCTCCATTCGAGCGCAAGCGACATAAAACCAATCCCTTAATCCTCCACGTCCAATTCTCCAACACCCAATACCCAATACTCAATGTGAAATGTTCGATGCCCAATACCCAATGCCCAATCCGCATCCGCATCGACAATTTATACATGGAGCTGAAGCTGGGATGCGTGTAAGTGCAGCGGAGCGCATTTGCAGCAATTGCAAGTGGATTTGGATGTGGCCAGGACACTGGCAGGACGTGGTCTGTTTGTTTTATGTGCGGCCATTGTAGTGCAGCAGTTGTTGCCGTTGCTGTTGTTGTTATTGTTGGTGCTGTTGTTGCCTGCCTGGCATGCGGTTCAATCAAAGCGATTTTCAATGTCCACAAAATTACGCAAAAGGACAGTTCGGTAATTTGACAACGACGACGGACACAGCACAGCACTGAACAGTACACAGAACACACTCGCCTGTTGTTGGTAATGAGTTTGGTTTTACTGTTTAAATTTAAGCATGCATCAGCCAGCCGAATGTAACTGGAGCAGGAGCAGCAGGAGCAGGAAGAGAGCCTCCCTTCGTAATGCGGTCGGCTACAATTCTAAAGTGTATTTGCATTAAAAGATTCGTGAGCGAGGCCAGAGAACGGAGGACGGGGAACAGAAAACATGACAGTTGCATTAATTTTGATTGCGTAAATATTGTAAGTGTGCGGATTGCTGAAGGATCAAATAGAGCCTGTGATGGATATATGTGATGTCCTTTATTCCCACATGCAGTACAAATATCGGGATGTTTTACACGTTTGACAATGCAAATGAGTATATTCGCTAATATTGCAATGAGTGCCTCGCTATTGAAACAAGAGACTTGAAGATAAAACAAGTAAGAAGGCTCTAGTCGAGACTGCTCAACTAGGAGATACCCTGAGCCCTCGAATCTGATATTCTAATCATTCTGTACTTCTCTTATGCACATATACCAGTGACTGCGCTTGGGCTGCGCTGCAGTGTGGGCAATATTATGAGAATTTATTTGTTGAATAATTTAATTTCTAGACGTACAATCTTAATGACACTTTTAGAACGTAATCATAATGTTCAAATGTATGTACGTTCCAAAGCACAAGTATCTTGTATTTGAAATGCGTTTTTTACAAATTGGGGGCGAAGAGGGCGTGGTATCCAAAATCTGTAAAAATGTTTGTATTCAACATATGTATAAACACAGTAAATCTTAAGCCTCCAGGTCCAAAAGTGTTGTGAGTGTTGTGAGGCGGAAAAAACAAAATCAATTTTGCGATTATTTTCGATAAAAAAGTTATCGGATGATTTATCGAAAAAATAAAGCAAACTCGTACTGC